GACATTTCTCAACTCTGAAGTTAAGTTGTAAAAACCTGATAGTAATGCAAATAATTCCTGTTGTGTCTGGTGGGATGCAACTGACTATTGTGCCATGTGAATCCTGGGCAGTTTTTTCCTTTAGTCTAAAATCATCCCAACATTTCTTATCTGATTATCATGAACAATACATTGAGTTCTCCTTGGAACTTATCTGACTATCTTGTGTGATACAGAAGATGCCCACATCAGATCACCCCAAGAGTCTCAGAACTGGTCTCCTCAAGATGGCTCCAGTGTGGCATGCAGAATATTTAGAGCTAGGAGCAATGAAATTCCTTGACACTGAGGAGAAGCTTCTGTTCTTACCTAAGTCCTTCAGTCTCACCTAATCAAAGAAGAGATCATCATGCCCTAAGCTTCTGACCTTTTTCTACTTGAAGAAGCAATCATGCCTCTCCTTTTATGACCGAGAAGAATGTAGTTTGGCAGGGGGTGGGGGAAGGGCAGTGGAGGGTCTCATCCAGTTGGAAGTTTATCAGTTAACATGTCCTATCTAAGAATCTCATCTTTATCCTCAGAGTCAGGATGAGGTAGGTGCCCTCCCTCTTCTTGCCTGTCATGTGAAGTCTCTTCTTCCCTTGATGTCCCCAGGTCCCTAAACACAGGATGAATGTCCCCAGTCTGTTCCATTATTCTTTAGGATTTATACTACGTAAATTCCCCTTATATAAGTTATTACATTTTGGCCTTTTCTTCTACTAATCTGCTAATGTTAATTTGCTCATCTGTCCAGGCTTAGAAGAACCCAGATGGGTTGGGGAAATTTCTCCCTGCACCCCAATAATACTTAGAGTTCTCCTTTGAGCTGGTTGTAATATTTTAGTGGTTTGCTCATTAATAAGTCAAATTAAATCTTTCACACATGTTAATTTTTATATCACAGGAGAAGCATAATTATATCTTTTAAAAAAGTTACCATTAAATATAGCCAAAGCCAGGCCTCCCTGGTGGTGCAAGGGGTTAAGAAGCAACCTACAAAGCTGTCCAGAGCTACTGCAGCACAAACTTGATCCCCCAGCAAGCCAGGGAGCAACCCACATGGCACAGCAGACCTCTCCTGTCTCACCTGCTGCTTCCCTCAGCAGTGTATTTTGGTCAGTCTGCCTGTTCTGTTCCCTGCTCTGTCTCTGGTGAATCCTCTCACCCCCCACACCTCTGGCCTGTACCCCAGCTCTTGTATGCATAAATAAATAAATCTGAAAAATAGATAAATAATACTCATTTTAGAAACATTAGTGTGGGGCCTCCCTGGTGGCGCAAGGGTTTAAGCACAGCACTATGAAGCAATCCACAGCCTCTGCAGCACAAGTTCGATACCTGGCCAGCTAGCAGCAACCCACATGGAGCAGCAGACCTCTCCTGACTCGCCCGCTGCTCCCCTCAACAGTGTATTTCCAGTCATTCTGCCTGTTCTGTTCCCTACTCTGTCTCTGGTGAATCCTCTCACCACCCCCCCACCGCAACTCTGGCCTGTACCCCAGTTCTTGTATGCACACATAAATAAATCTTTAAAAAAAAAAGCAAACCAAATAGATAAGATAACATCTAGGCATAGTATTACCCAATGTCAGTCCTGAGCAGCCAGTGGTGGTTATGAGTGCTGTCTGCCCTCAGGGAAAAGACTAAGGTTCAGGTCTACCCATATACCCAAGGGCTCCAGGCACCCACCACACCCACCTCTACTCTGGGGCTGCCTAGGTGAGGGGCCATCCTATCTGTTCAACACCATTGTCTTCCCTCCCCACCGCCCCTATCCCCAGCCCAACTCATGGAAGATATGCCAGAATGAGAACTGCCCCGACTCCTCTGACAACTTGAGAGCACATTGCAGCTGAAAGGGGAGAACCACTGCCAAACCACTGCTTGCACAACAAAGCACTTAAGAGAAAGGTACACAAGATTTTTGTCAGCTGAACCCTGTTTTCCTCCTAAAGCAACCATAGTCCAGATATGCTCTGGCTTCCATGCTCATGGGTGGCTCATCCATTGGTAGTTGCCCCCAGCACTCCATAGACGTCTGTCCTCATTAACCAAACTCGAAACCATTACTTAAGTACTTGAGGCTAGAACTCCCTTCCAGAAATTCCTCCATCCACCGAACTTGGATGTTTGACTGTTTTTTTTGTTTTTGTTTTTGTTTTTGTTTTATGAGAGAGAGATGGGGACAGAAGGAGAGAAGGAGGGAGAGAGAGAGAGAGAGAGAGAGAGAGAGAGAGAGAGAGAGAGAGCATGCGCAATCAACACGTCAACACCCTTAGGCAGGGACCATCTCTCAGTCCTAGGAGCCTCCCCAAGCTGCATCTGGCACATCTGCACACAGATACTTCACTAATGTACTCATGGGCTGGGAGGACTAAGAAAGAGGGGAGGCATGAGCCAGAAGCCTCTTCTTACTGCACACTCTTGGATGGCCTGACTAGGGCTGGCCCTTCCTACACTTACCCACTAAGCACAGATCCAGGGTCACACCTAAATCCTGGGTTTGGGGACTCAGGGTACTCCAGAACACCTTCCCAAGTAGCACATCATCTCTTACTGTCTGTCCATTACCCTTAGTGCCACTCCTTAGTGATGTTTGAGGCCATACTCTCAATGTCATCTGATCACATCACTCTCTCCTTAAATCCTTCAGTGGCTCCCTATTGCCTCCAGGATCAGGTCCAAATTAATGGCAGGACCTTCAAATCCCTTGTTTCCCAATCTGACACCAGCTCAATCTCTGACACCATCTCTACACTATGAAACCCACAATCTATCCACTCATCCACCCCCTGCATATTGGAGTCTGGCTTGTGCATAAATCTATAGGCTATTTTCCAAGCCCTTATAGCGGCCCCAAATACCTCATCTCAGTGGCAGCCTCTCTCTTATTAATTGATGTCATCAGAACCACATAACTACAGATGCAATCAGGCATGCCAGAGCCTGTTCTAGTGCAGGGCCTTACTCTGGTGCTCACACCACCCTGGGGTTGCACCTGGGTGAACATCACACAGACCCCTTTCCAGAATGGCTCTCTCCACTGCAACAGCTGCAGATTCCTCCTATTTCCCAAAAGCTCACCGCTGTGGAGCAACAGCAGTTGTATTAGGACGCATCACAGCATCTTGCTGCAAAATGACAGCTACAATTATGTTTTGGCTGACAGCTGGAGATGAGAGAATATACGAACAGCTAAGCCTCTTGAGCCTCCATGAATCAGCAGTTTGTGCTGCATGTCCAGCTGGTAGGTGAGGTGGGCAGCCTGGTGGCCACAGATCTCAAGTTAACACGTGGGACCCTCACGTGATGTCCTCCACTGCACATTGATAGTTACTACCCCAAGAAACACCCGAGGGCTCAGAGGAGCAGAAGAGTAAGGTGGTCAAGCTCAGGCAAGGTCCAGCCTCAGGGACAGGCACTTTATTTCTACCCTTGGGAGGGGGCAGGCAATGCAAAGGGCCAGCTGCCATGGTGAAGTTCATTATGTTGGGCAGCCTGATATGGGGTGTGCTCCTGATGGGTCTCTTACGAGGTCCCAGGACACCCATCTCCATGAGGAGCCTCAGGTGTGGGAATGAAGAGGTGTGAGTATAGGGACCAAGACAGTGTAGCAAAAGCAGTGGCAACAATGGTTTCTGCTTTTTGAGTCCTTCCCTGTGCCAGCCCCTGTGCTGAGCATGTTAGGTATGGGCATTTTTTCACCTTCACCACAGCCCGGTGAGGTGGGTTCTGTTATTATCTCCGCTTTACCTGTGATGAAACCGAATCTGAGAGGAATTTGAAGGTGGCAACACAGCTGGCAGGTATGGAGGTGGGATCTGAGGCCAAACAATCTGGCTGCAAAGCTTTGTGTGGTTTATGCTCATTATCCCAGTATGGCCCTTTCATTCTGTCTTGGTTGCAGGAAACTCCAGAGCCCCCCAGCATAGTCTCACATAGGGCAAGTTGAATTGGAGCCTCCAAAGAGACTTGGCTTGGAAGCCAAGATGTTAGCAAGGAAAATAAATAACAGCTATTTCAGGTGACAGGTGTTGGGCTGTGGAATTGGTGAAGAAAAATCAAAAAGCCACCAGAATTTTTTCATTGCACATTTTCTGCATGTTCAGCCCATCAAACATCATCAGAAAGCTGCTCCAGGCCAGCCTTGCCCCTGGAGACAGAGGGCAGGAGCAGGAACATCCTTTGTCACTGATGCAGGCTTTCCCAAGGCCCCAGCACCAGAGGTGGCCTCCTAAGACCAAGTTTTGCCTCTCATTCAGCCGTGACCTGGGTTCTAGTGAGGGCTTCTGGGAGGGGCAGGCTAGGCTCTTGGGGTTCTTGGATGGGTATTTACTGCCCTCCTCGTGCCCCTCATTGGAGCAGAACCTGCCTGTCCTCACATCCTGTCCAAACACATGCAAACGAGGAGGCAGTAGGCTAGCAACTCTGTTCAACACTCTCCCAAAGTGGGTGTCTAAATGGCCAGAAGGGGCTGCCTCCCCAGTGACTCAGCGGGTTGAGCGCAGCTCTGTGAAGCTGTCCACAGCCTCCCCAGTGCAGGTCTGATCATGGCTGGCCAGGGAGATCCCCACATGGCACGGCAGACCTCTCCTGTCGCGTGCCCACTGCTCCCCTCAGCAGTGCTTTCAGTCTGTCTGCCTGTTCTGCTCCCCACTCTGTCTCTGGTGAATCCTCTCACCCTCCCGTGCCTCTGGCCTGTACCCCAGCTATTGTATAAATAAATAAATAAATAAATAAATAAATAAATAAATAAATAAATAAAGACTAAAAAAAATTAATTACTATATATATATATAAAAAAAAAAAAGGCCAGTAGAGCTGGGTGCGGGAGCATTTGTATTACAAGTGCCTGCTACCCATGAATCACCAATTTCATTTTGTGTCTCAGCTCTGCAAAGGCATCATTTCCACCCAGCCTCACATGGAGCTGGCGGCCAGAGCCTCTTAGTGGGGCTATAAATAGCATATCAACTCACCTCTTCTGAGCTCATCACAGGCTCCTCGGTTTACTGTGCATCTTCCTGCTGCTGCACGTCACTATCACTCAGATTTCTCAGGTGAGACTTAACTGAGAGACCCAGAGCATGCTCTGGGGGGGCTGCAGAGTTTGGGTTCCCAGAGTTGTTCAGGGTGACAGTGAGGGCAATGGCAGACTTTTGAAGAGCTTGACATTTAAGGCGTCATAATTATCATCCTGGGTCTCTGAGCTCCTCTCCAATTAAATGCAGCAGCAAGGGACTGTCATTTCTCTAGGAGTCCTAGAAAGTAAAGACAAAGGATTCACCAAATACACCCAGAGAAAGCCACAAGGAGAGGGTAGCTACAAATGAAAGGTTTCATGCCTTCCTGTGGATTTGCCTCCTAATGCTGAATGAAATACTTTATAGTTCTCACTCTTCAGAAGGGAGATACACTGAATGAAATACTTATGGCTTTCTGGCTCCAGAAAGGAACTCGCATTTTTTAGTATTACTCATAGCTACCATTTACGGAATGCTCCCTGCGTGCCAGGCTCTGTGCCCAGCTTTGCAGGCAGCATCTCATCCAGCCATCACAACAGCCACACTCAGTTACTGCTGGCATCACTGGCTTTCTCTAGGTGAGGAGGCTGTGGCTCCTAGATCTCAATCTCTGAAGCACCACTTCCAGGAGAAGAGGACTGTGTGTGTCCACATGTATCCATGTATGTGTCCACACACACATGAGACCACGGGATCTGATCTATAGTCTCCATTTCCCCCTCCACACACTCCACCATTGGAAGTGGGAGCCAAAGGCTCACCATCCTCCAAGTTCTGCTGGTATTCTGAATGACCCCTGTCACCATCTTCTCCCAAATCTGATGTTCTAGGTTCTCCTGCAGGCAGGACACCAGCCTCCATTTGGCTCTCCAGGACCAAACTGATGGTCTTCCTTCTGCCTCCTGGCCCTCAGGTCCTGAAACAGGCAGAGGTCAGGTGGGACTCCCCCTCTCCCTCCTCCTTGGCAACCACCCTCTAATCTGTTTCCTCCACTGCCTCCCAGAGTCACGACCCCAAGTCTGAGGTCTGGTTCCTTTTATCGGTCCCTTATGATAGTCTTTCATCTCAGTGCTGTACCTTGGGAATGCTTTAAGAACACAGATTCTGGGCCCCCCTGGTGGCGCAGTGGGTTGAGCGTAGCACTGTGAAGCTGACCACAGCCTCTGCGGCACCAGTTAGATTCCCGGCCAGCCAGGGAGCTACCCACATGGCGCAGCAGACCTCTCCTGTTTCGCCCTCTGCTCTGCTCAGCAGTGTATTTCAGTCAGTCTGCCTGTTCTGCTCCTCACTCTGTCTCTGGTGAATCCTCTCACATACACCCCCACCCACTCAAGCACCTCTGGCCTATAGCCCAGCTCTTGCATGTGTAAATTAAAATTAAAAAAAAAAAAAAAAAAAAAAAAAAAAACACAGATTCTTGGTTTTCTCCCCAGACCACTTAAAACAAAATCTTGCAGGGTAAAGGGTTGGATCTGGATTTTTAAATAGCTCCCCTAGTGATCTATGCAGCCAAGGTTAAGTAAGAATCACGTCTAGGGGCCTCCCTGGTTGCGCAGCGGTTGAGCGCTCGGTTGCGAAGCTGCCCGCAGCCTCTGCAGGCCGGTTCAATCCCCGGCCACCGGGCGAGGGTCCCACATGGCGCACAGACCTCTCCTGCCGCCCACTGCTCCCCTCAGCAGTATATTTCGTCAGTCTGCCTGCTCTGCCCTCCGCTCTGGTGAATATTCTCACCCCCTCCCGCGCTTCTGACTGTACCCAGTGCTTGAATAAATAAATAAATAAATCTTAAAAAAAAAAAGAAAAAAGAATCACATCGTCTAACTGTCTGCCTGGATGCTAGCCTTTCCCTGCTTTGAATCCTCCCACCCATGGCTATCAACTTAAGTTTTTAAAGCATAGTTTATCTTAAACCACTCTCCCGCTCAAAATTCCTTTGTGGCTCCCCACTGACTGCAGAGAGTACAAAGCCCCTAGGTTCACTCCATCCTGATCCATTCACTCTCCTGCCTCATTCTATGGAACTACCTTTTCCTGTGACAGCTTCCTGGCTCTGCTCTCAGCTTGTTTGGACTCTAGATGTCACCTGGGCACAGCAAAGCATATTAAAATAGCATCAATCCTTCCCTAAGACGCTGAGTCCTTCAATAAAAGCATGGAGGACTTATTGCTAAAATGCCCCTCTTGATTCAAGAGCCATGTGAAGAGGGTTTGTGTAGCCTGGGGATGAAAAGAGATCTGCCAGCAGATACAACACAATAGCAGTAATGTGTAAACACAGGAGAGCAGCAGAGGTGGGGCTCATGATTAATTCAAAGGAGATGATATTTCGGCTTTCTCTGTGCTTTTATTCAAGCCCAGAAGACAGCAGGTCTGGTAAGCACTAGGGCTGGGACCATGTTTCAAGGTGCCATTCTAGACAAAAGCAGAGAAACATATTTGGACATTGTTCAAAAGGTCAAGAACGTTTTACTAATACAATTAAACAATGTGTGAGTTTGGACTTTGTTCCATGTTCCATAAAGAAACACCTATCCCCAAATAAAATAAAAAGGGACTGTGTTGACTGACAGCAAGAGTCAGAACAGGGCCTGGAAATTGTTCCTCAGGAGTGCTTCAAAGTGAAAATGGACCCAAAGAACTTGTTAAATATAACAGAAGAGCTGTGCATGAATCTTCATCTTCTCCCTCCCAACACCCTATGGACAATAACTATAAAGGAGCAAAAAGAGTTATAAATCCACAAGGTTGATGAGTTTAGGGGAGGAGATGACATCAGATGAAGGGGGTCAGATATCTTTGGAAGGCAGGAAGCAGAATAGGGAGAGGTGTGTCACGTGGCAGTGTGGGGGAGGCTAAAGGCCTGATGGCTACAGATGGGTTCCGGGTGAGGAGTAGGCCAAACTTTAGGGGCAGGAAGAACACACAGGTTTTCCCCAACATCCAAAAGTAGAACATTCCTATTTGATATGATTTGGCAGGTTGTTTTTTTGCATCTGAGAACCCTACTACCATTCATATATATGGAAAATTTTTTTAGTGTCTCCAGTCCCCAAAATTAACCTAGCAGATAGGAAGATTCTACTTTGGAGAGTGGAGGAAACCTGCAGCTGCTAAGGGGAGTTCTGCTGGAGCCTGGGTGTGAGCACAGTCCAGGTGGGCAGCAGGGTCACCACATCTTGTCTGCTCCTGCAGGAGACCTGAAGGGTTCACTGGGGAGTTTGGATCAGCACCCCAGGCACTGTGGAAGACAGGTGTAAAGTGCAGAACTGAAAATACGGCAAACAAGTGGAAATCTAGACACTGAAAGGTAAACTCCTAGTCCCTTTTCCTCCTCTCCCTGCTTCTGGACAACTTGGCAACCAGACACACCCCTTACCCTGAGCTGGAGACTTTCCTTTCACAACTGAGCTGACTCAAGGGACAGACCTTCAAATGCAGATACTGGAACTCCAGCAGAAGAGCCAGTTCATGACAACCACTCTCTACAGGGTAGTCCGCAGTTAGACAAGTGCTGCCCAAGCACACCAGCTCTCCAACCATCTCTTAAGCACATAATGCTCATATCTGGCCATAGAGCTAAAATTATCAGACCTTTTCCTTTTTCTTGATTTCCAAGATCCCAGGCTTTTAAGGCAAGTCTCAGACAGGAGAAGGAGGTAGACGGGAGTGGGAAGGGAGAGTGAGAATATCTAAGTTCAGGAAGGACAAAAAAGCTTTAACAAGATTATTACATCCTCAAGAAGACAAAATAAGATTTATATCTCAAGGTTCATTGTCATGCAGTATGAAACACCACGGATAAAGAAAAGACCCGAAGAGGACCAGAAAGGGTTAAGTCAATCAAAACAGGTCAGTGTAAAGGATTAGGAATCAGAATAGCACCAGATTTCTCAGCAGCAACCCTGGAAGATAAATGGAATGAGAAATCTGAGGGAGAAGTACTAATAGCTTAGAAATCTAAATCCAAACCAATAATTAAGAGAAATGCTAGAATAAAAAATGCTTTAGACATGGGAGATCACAATAATCTGTGCTTCCTTTCTCAGGAAACTTTATACCCAGACAAGAGAATAATCCAATAATAAGGAAGGGAGACCCAGGAGAGAGCAATTGGCGACCCTGGAGGGAAGTGAAGCTGTAGGGTTAGGGACGAGACCCCATCTGAGCCAGAGAATAGAGAACTTCAGGACAAAGATGCACCAGATGGATTACCTGATGGGTGTGATTAGGTAGAAAATTATGTTGAGAAGCTATTAGGGGGTTTTGAGAATTAAGAGTAAGTGTTAAACACTGAGTAAATTTTAAAATATGAGCCAATTACTAGACCTCCCTGGTGGTGCAAGGGGTTAAGCACTGCACTATGAAGCAATCCACAGCCTCTGCAGCACAAGTTCAATCCCCAGCCAGGGAGAAACCCACATGGCACAGCAGACCCCTCCTGTCTCGCCCACTGCTCCCTTCAGCAGTGTATTTCATCAGTCTGCCTGTTCTGCTCCCCACTCTGTCTCTGGTGGATCCTCTCGCCCCCCACATCTCTGGCCTGTATCCCAGCTCTTGTATGCATAAATAAATAATCTTTAAAAAAAAAAAAATGAGACAGTTACTACCTAGGAAACTTCCTCAACACATAAACTACAAAAGAAAATAAATGCAGGGCCTCCCCGGTGGCGCAGCGGTTGAGCGCTGGGTTGCGAAGCTGCCCGCGGTCTCTGCAGCGCCAGTTCAATCCCCGGCTGCTCCCCGGCCACAGGAGGGTCCCACATGGTGCGCAGACCTCTCCTGCCGCCCGCTGCTCCCCTCAGCAGTGTACTTCGGTCCTTCTGTCTGCTCTGCTCCCCGCTCTGGCTCTGGCTCTGGTGAATTCGTTCACCTTCCAGTGCTTCTGACTGTACCCAGTGCTTGCATGAATAATAAATAAATAAATATTAAAAAAAAAAGAAAAAGAAAAGAAATGCAACACCAAATAATTTACATAACCCATAATAATGTAAACACAGAATATTGATTTAACCACAGACTATAATAATGAGTGTTGGGAAGCTGGCAGAAAGGGGAGGAGGATGCAGGTGGTAGTAAGTAAAAGAAACAACTCCTCATCTCCCATAACTGCAAGAAAAGGGGTAATGTCCAAAACTGACAAATCAATAAAAATGTAGTGTAGGGTAAATGGAGATGCTCAGGCTTTCACACCACTGGCTTCTGTGGTTATCACCTGCGGCGTTGAATGCAGGAGGTTC